AAAATGAAAAAAATGTAAATGAAATGGTGGTTGTATACCAATGATATCATCAATTTACTTTATATATAAAAAACAAAAAAACAAAAACAAAACTGAAATAACAAAATCGACTGATAATAAAAATAAATAGTAGTAGCACTGGGTGGGGAAAGACTGATGGAAACTGCCGATCAAGTCACGTACAAAGACCATTAGATCGAAGGAAGGAGGTTAGGGAACGCCCATGCTGGTAGCGAGAGTAGCACCTAAGCCTTTTCTTTTTTTTTTACCATTGAAGCCGAAGGAATCAATATATGGCATTTCTTGCACTATATCAGAAGCATGATTATTGATGTCGAACCAAGTACCACATGCAAGACTACCTGTGTGTGGGGGGAGAGGCCCCTGCGACAGGTTGCTAGCATTCTTTTGGGCTGCAACATGACGAGCCAAAGTTACACAGTGTACAGATACGTGGGCAGAAGGTCCAGTTTAGCCAAACCATACTTAAGTCAAAATCACTTGTCTTCACAAATATTAGCACCTCTGTTTGATCTTGAATTCTGATCTTTTATAAGTATACAATAGGAAGTTTTGAAAAAACAAATTAGAAAAAAAAATAATTAAACTAGACATAGAAAAAAAAACAGTACAAGTTAAAATGTAAAGACTTTACAAGGCCAAACACTAATTTCAAGACAAAACTGGAAGAAAAGAAAAAAAATTAAAAATGTTAAAAAGAGTACAAAAAAAAAAACAAGAGAGAGTAAGAGAAACAGACAGACAAATTATGAACAATACATCTGACTACAAATCATGCTTGTTTTGGGAGCTTATTTGGGACAAGAGATCGAGATGCAGAGGGACTAGCGTGCAGCTTTCCCTCTGCCCGACCACACTCAAAGCTGTTAAAAGGGGCAGATGCGGTAATCATTAAAGGTTACTCATCTGGTCCTCAAGCAGCAAATATATATATATATATATGGACTGTAAATAAGATCCCATACATTAATTAATGAGTATCATGCTCTTTTCTAGAACGAGTGGTCATGCTTGTACTATCTGCCTCTATGTACTTATACATAAAAAGAAAAAGATATATTTAGATATAATAAAATCTATTAAAGTTTGCAAATACTTGCAGTCTATCATTCCCTCTCATTTCAAGAGGAAAAGAAAACAAAACAAAAAAAAGCCAATTCCTCACCTCTAGTGGAATTTAAGAGACAGGGAGACAAATAGAAAAAAAAAAAAAAAAAAAAAAAATCTTTGGATTCTAATGACCAAAATCTGTTCCAATATCAACTGTCAATGTAAAAAAAAAAAATAATAATAATAATGAAAAAAATAAATAAATACGGAAAGAAAAACCTAAGGCGTTCTCTACCAACATTACCTGACTCTGGGTCATAAGTGAGCCCCGTACCCTGAGCTCTCTGTCCTACGAACAGACAATTTTTGAAAATAACTAGTATGATGCTCTCACAAATTTGATCTTTATTTTTGTATATATTGAGAGTGACTAATACTCTAGCTGAAAAAATATATATTTTGGCAAAATATATGAGAAGAAATATTCATAAGATAAATAAATAACCTATAAAAATAATGAGAGAAAATATTCTTTGTTTTTATTACATATATCAGTATGAGTATGTGTTGAGGAGGAGGGGCTATGGGAAAAGAATAGAGGAAGGAAGGAAGGAAGGAGGGAGAGAGGGAGGGAGAGAGAGAGAGAGAGAGAGAGAGAGAGAGAGAGAGAGAGAGAGAGAGAGAGAGAGAGAGAGAGAGAGAGAGAGAGAGAGAGAGAGAGGGAGGGAGGGAGGGAGGGAGGGAGGGAGGGAGGGAGAGGGAGGGAGAGGGAGGGAGGGAGAGGGAGGGAGAGGGAGGGAGGGAGGGAGAGAGAGAGAGAGAGAGAGAGAGAGAGAGAGAGAGAGAGAGAGAGGGAGGGAGGGAGGGAGGGAGGGAGGGAGGGAGGGAGGGAGGGAGGGAGGGAGGGAGAGGGAGGGAGAGGGAGGGAGGGAGAGGGAGGGAGAGGGAGGGAGGGAGAGGGAGGGAGGGAGAGGGAGGGAGGGAGAGGGAGAGGGAGGGAGAGAGAGAGGGAGAGGGAGAGGGAGAGAGATAGAGAGATAGAGAGATAGAGAGATAGAGATAGAGATAGAGAGAGATAGAGAGATAGAGAGAGAGAGAGAGAGAGAGAGAGAGAGAGAGAGAGAGAGAGAGAGAGAGAGAGAGAGAGAGAGAGAGAGAGAGAGAGAGAGAGAGAATGTAAAGTGTTTCTTCCTGTATGTGTATAGGCCAATCAGTAACTGAATACACATACAATATATGTAATAAATGCTGCAAAAACCTCCTTAAACAGATATCTAAAAAGCAGATCTATCTCTAACACTGACTTCAGTCAAAAAAAGAAGGCAAAAAAATAATTCTAGCCATTCAAGACGGACAAACTTGTAGTCAAGACCAAAATATCCATCCTCTACACATGCATATACTTCACTAACCCTCCATAATATTGTAGGCTAGGAAATTGCAATGCAGCATAGGAAATACAGAGTGAAAAAAACAATTATATGTTATAATACCCCCCAAAATAATTATTTCTAGTAATTGAAAACAGCCATATGAAAATTAAATTATCTAAATTATAATAAAAAAAGGAAAACGATATATCAACATACAAAATTTTATTACTTAGTTTATATCTTCATGGATTTGTAGTGTGATTTGCTCCATGTAAACAACACAAAACATTACATTAAGTAAAAATCGTTAACTTTATCATGTCACTCAATTAAAAATAAATAGTGTATCTTTGGTTTCAGTGAAGGTTTTACTCTAAACACAAAGGTAAACTTGGAAAATATGAATATATGTAACCCATCATGCACATAAATCCTAGAGTAACCTCCCTTCTTCGCCCAACTAATTCTGGGTGGAGTTCTAGCACCCCTTAAGGCAACTAACATTCAAAGAACAATGAGCAAAGAAGTGGATATGCCTTGAAATCTCCATTGCTCTAAGTCTTATGCAAATTTCATGCTTTAACTTAAAAAAAATTAAGTACTTTCATCTCTTAGTAATAATAATAATGATAATAATGATAATAATAATAATAATAATAATAATGATAATTGTAATAAGAATAACAGGTGTATCTATTGCCTAATTTCTAAGAAAAAAAAAAGAATAACGAGCCTAAATTCCATTAAAATGACAATAATAATGATTAGCCTGGCTTCTATACGAAAAACTATTAAAAACACTAACAGTCATAATGTATATATATATTAGAACAAATATTAAGATATCCAAACAGAGAAGATAAATATATGGTAATGAGTCCTTATATACGGCACCTCAGTTCCAGCCATCTCCACAGACATGACAGCAATGTGAATCTTTATTGCATACTAGTAGTCTCTAATGCAAGGCATTACAATCAGTGATATAGGCTATTGCCATTCTAGTACGGAAATTCAGTTGAAAACAAAGTTGCAAATTATATTCTAGTTGAAATAAATAACTGAAATGTCACTAATGTTAACAAAATGACATTGATGAAACAATTTAGCATTAAAATACAAAAGAAACTGAGCTCTAGACAGTGATGAACTCTAGCACACTACTTTCCCATTTGAGCTCTTGCAACTGCTAAGCCAATTGCAAGCCATGTTACAGGAAATGGCCATGTCTATGTCCATGACATTGATAAATAGAAGGAAAACACAGATTTCATAAAAAATAAACTAATATATATATATATATATATATATATATATATATATATATATATATATATATATATATATATATATATATAAATAAATAAATAAATGTTTTTTGTGTATATATCTGGAATCTTGATTTAAGTATCTATCTCATAATTATTATTATGATCAGCAGTCCTTCATATCTCAGCAAGGAAATAAGTGAAACTGAAGTACCCTATATAAACATTCATACCAATCCAAACATCCACAATGTCTACCACATAAATAAAAGATTAAATGTATATATATAGAATATGTAGTATGGTCTCCTTACCATCCATACTTCTTGAAGACAGTTTTCTACGGCTTAGCGTTCGCTCAAATTCTGGATTGTTTCGATCACTGAGATTAGCTGCCATGCGGGACTGGTACTGTGTCCGCCCAGAATATCGGAACTTTGACCCTAACCGTGGCCAAAGCCCTTGCTTCTGTGGTGGTTCTGGAGTCATTAATCTTTAAGAGAGAAGCAGAGGATAATTATAATAACAGGGAGAATATATTGCAAAGTTAAGTAGCAATCAATTATTTGATGACAAACATTCATTAAATCAACCAACACAGATGGCAGTTTACTAGTCACTAAATCCCATGTGAAACCCTTTATCACGTACCCATCAATTCACACCCCCTTAAATTAAGCTATAGCTGAGTCTCTGTAGAATCCACACTTGGTTACAAACCTGAAAAAGGTGTGGTGCTCCACGCACACCTTCCAAAGTCTCTTAGCTGCCTTGTGATTGGGCAATTTGAACCCGATTGTCGACTCAAAGGTTTCAAACTCGCCAGGTCTAATCTTGATGTAGAAGTTACTTCGCTTGTATGAGATTTTGAGGATTTTGGGCCATGCAAATCGATTGATGCGTAATCTAGAAAAAATTGAAGATTAAAAGGGGATTATAGAGTGTATCACTTTTCAAATGTAAAATAATTCTAAGGACATGCAGATATAAATATGAATTCTAATGCATTTCTCACTGATAAAGGCACTAGGGAGGTTGAGGGAATTAATGAATTTAAAATAATAAATTGAGTATAAACCACATTACTAGCTGGAAAAATCAAATAATTTAAACATCTTAACTACATGTCTCTGCACATAGATGGTTCTGTTAGTGCTTAGCTACAAAGGTGACAATTAGTAGAACTTGTGACCTTACCTAATTTCACCTTTCCTTGAATTGGTGGGAAAAACGTATTGTTTCCTAATGCTATGAATATTGATGGTGTTATTCTTATTGTAGACATTATAATTACTATAATATTATAAACAATAGTAACAGTACAACAAGATAACGTAAAACCCTTTCGTAATCAAGGAAAAGGGTAAACAGGCAAGGCAGGCAGTATTCTTAATTGGCTCAATGGTGACTTGGTGTAGCCATCTATGTATAAAAACAATAAAGAAATCTCACATTGGGCATGGCATATACGTACATGCCATGCCCCTCAGCATTGGGCTAATACTTACTTGTCTCTATAAACAAGGAGGCCTGATGCACAAACACCCAACATGATATCTACACCTTCTGAATCCTTAGCTGAATGCATATCAACACCGTACATTGCTAATTTCTTTGCATTTTCTAGATAGTGTAGTTCTGCTTCTGCAGGCGTCTGCCCTCTTCAGAAAGAAAGAAAGAAAAGAAAAAGAGCCTTGTTAATATGCAACATATAAAAAAATACAGTGGCAAAAATAAAGCCTGTGAAAAATAAGTATAGATATAGATATAGATATAGATATAGATATAGATATAGATATTTATATATATATATATATATATATATATATATATATATATATATATATATATATATATATATACATATATATATATATACATATATATATATACATATACATATATATATATATACATATATATATATATATACATATACATATATATATACATATACATATACATATACATATACATATACATATACATATACATATACATATACATATACATATACATATACATATACATATACATATACATATATATATATATATATATATATATATATATATATATATATATATATATACACACACACATATATATACTTATGTATATATAATAAGCATTTAGTCATATATATCATTGTAATTTTCATCTTTTTCCATATTGGTATAAAACTGTTCTTTGGACATTCATGAACTCTATCTATACATAATCTCTTAATCAAATGCCATCAAACAAATGACCAGACATGGGCTCTAACAACCATATAGTAGTTTCTTCATTCATATATTACTGTAAACAAACTAGCTCCAAATAACCTCTCTTACTCACAGTCTTCCTCATTGGCACCAATTTAATCAGTTTGCAACTTATAGTTTGTTGCATGTGCAAATACTGGTCACTGAATAATCACTAAAAATAATCCCTGATAAATGCATGATGTAATGCACTGAAAATAGGGATTACTTCATACACAGGTGTGTCTTAGAGATTGGCAAATAATCAAAACTTACCAATTTTCAAACTCTGCTATTTCAAAAGATTCTATAATATAAAATTATCTAGATGAAATCGCTCATGCAAAAAAACAGAGGAAAAAAATAATAAATTTAGTTCACTTTGTATCTCTTCGAAAATTCAATTAAATAGGGATACTAAAATAAAACTAGTACGAGGAAGACAAAAGGAAAGAGAAATCTATAGGAGACCAAATTCAATCAACAACTGAAACCTACTTATGTGTCTTGTGTAGGTCCACAACCTTCTCCTCCAGCTCGGCATTCTGGGTTGGTGCAAATGTGAACTCAGACAAGTAGCTTGTGCCGACATGTTCTTTGGCATCGTAGTCTCCCACTTCTGCTTGTACCATGTATGAGCCTAGCAGTGCATGTGTAACGAAAGAACATGGAAGTTTGCCCGTCAAGATGTCCTGCCGTACCTGTAAATAAGAAAAAAGTGAAGAGCACAACTCTTGTACAATATTAAATCCTCACTTTGTGTGTTCTTCATTAATGGAAAAAATAATAATAATAATAAGTGTTTGTTCTAGCAACACAGAAAAATTCACTAATGTTGTATTTCACTCTCTCTCAGTTACCTGAAGACAGAGTTGGTATCTGGTGATGTCTTCGGCCAGCTGAGCTGGATCAGGGGGATAGAACTTGACTTCAAAGTTGAACTCCCATGGCCCCTTGACCTGCTTTGAGATTCTCTTCTCCGGGTTGAGCCAAGTCTTGTAGTTGTTGTGGTCCATATAACTGAGGCCAAAGTAGTCCTTCTCCAGAAGGTTGATGCGGTCAGCTACACTGTTGATGAGGTCCTGGCCCTTGGCTTTTTTCTGTTGAGATTTGAGAGGTATTACTTTAATGTAGGTGTCTGGCTGATGGGGTGACAATATTCATCTTCATTTTGGGAGCTCATAAAGCTTTATAACATACAATTAATATATTAATGTAACTCTGGACTGTCTATAGGCACATATTCTGAAATTACCAAGCTACATAACAATACCATTGGTCTGTGCATCACTTCCGTTCAGTGATGAAGGTAGAAGATTGCACCAACATATTATCATTTGTATTTTTTCATACTCTGTGTACTTTTTATTACTGTGACATAATAACATTCTTACCTATTCCATTCTTTCATGTTATGAAAAATTGCAATTTTAGACAAAGACTTATTAAGAGGCTGTTTTTAACTGATGCGTTTCACATAACTCTGAAACTGTCAACAGTCTTTCAAGGAACAGAGTACCAGGGCAGGAAAGGAACTTATTAAAACTGGTGCATGTGACCAGTGCAAGCACTCAGAAATTCAAAAAATGTGGATCACTGTTCTGAGACGCCATGACTCAGGGTGAAACCTAGACCAGGTTGGTTTATGCAAGTTACATTTTCAGCAAATATCTTCCTTAAAACCTGTTCTTTTGAGTAGTTTTGAATTAATGTTTATATTGATATTATGTTATTGAATTTTTTTCTCAATACCATTATGCATGATGTGTGTAGCACAATTTAGTGTTTCATTTATTAAACCCAATGCCACTGGGAAAGGTACATATGTAAATGCAGTACACACTGAGCTTAGTTTATTCATTATATTTACACCTAGATGGCTCTACAAGTGCTTACTCACCTATCTCACTTTTTACTATTTTCCTCGATTCTTAGAAATAGTTTTTTTAATTCTAGATTACCATTAGTATTCTTAATAACACAACAATAATCATAATATCAATAATAATAATAATAATAAGAGCATCAATGTTAAAGGAATTAGAAGAAAAGAAAAATCCCTTAAACTCAAGGAAAGGGGAAATCTGGGAAGGGCGCACAGACTACTAATTGACTCCTTGGTGGCTGAGCACTTATAGAGCTGCTAGGTGTAAATAAATTTCATAAACCAAAACTACGGTGAGCACCACAAGTTCTCGGGGGCACTGGGTTAATATATAGTCTGGTCAGTTTATAGTTTGGACAGTAAAATAATTAATTTCTATAAAGCTGGTTTATTTAGTTTGTTTATTTGTGAACATATGAAGAAGTCTGGCAAAATTCATTTCATTCTTAGTCTTTAGCCTTGTAAGATCCTTTGCTTATTGGTGTAAAGCTTAGAGATGTGACTTTCAATTATCATTACACCTGAACCAGCTAACCATGGGACAATGGGCAATTTTGACATTTATTTTGGTACCTAAAAATCATACTGCACTTCAATATATTTGGAAAATATTCTTAAAGTACTTGATAATAAAATGTAGTGAGCACCAGAATGTGTTATGAATATCGTATAGCTATATATTTTCATAATAAACCAGTAACTTGAAAATCAAATGGTGTTGTTGGAATGCAGTGTACTGAAGATACATTCTTAAAAAGCAGACTGCTAAGTAACTCGTTTTCATTAGCCAGACACCTGGCAGTGTTATTAGTGTTGTTAAAGTGAGAGAGAGAGAGAGAGAGAGAGAGAGAGAGAGAGAGAGAGAGAGAGAGAGAGAGAGAGAGAGAGAGAGAGAGAGAGAGAGAGAGAGAGAGAGAGTGTGAGAGTGAGAGAGTGAGAGAGTGAGAGAGTGAGAGAGTGAGAGAGTGAGAGAGTGTGAGAGTGAGAGAGTGAGAGAGTGAGAGAGTGAGAGAGTGAGAGAGTGAGTGAGAGAGTGAGTGAGTGAGTGAGTGAGTGAGTGAGTGAGTGAGTGAGTGAGTGAGTGAGTGAGTGAGTGAGTGAGTGTGTGTGTTTGAGTGTGTGTGTTTGAGTGTGTGTGTGTGTGTTTGAGTGTGTGTGTTTGAGTGTGTGTGTGTGTGTTTGAGTGTGTGTGTTTGAGTTTGAGTGTGTGTGTGTGAGTTTGGGTGTGTGTTAGAGTTTGAGTGTGTGTCCGAGTGTGTGTTTCTTTTTATTTGAAACCGAGTCCTTTCTACTATAATTTATAAGAGAAATTTGCATTGATATCTGTCCTGGTTACAAGTACACACCAGTAAAGTTGAAATAAGGCTTTGGAATTGTTATACAATGGGCTGATACTCTGTGCACAGTCCGGAGTTACAGTGGTCTATGCTGAGATATACACATGATATTCCACTTTAACTTTACCTAATAAAACCCAAGTTACCACCTATAATCATACAACAATTCATTTGGGAAATCAATAGAACAGCTGAATAAGGGAAAAAAGTAAAAAGGGAATGAAAATGCAGTCGCACACCAGCCAAATTCTTTTCCACCTGCCAACACATTCCTCCATACCGTCTAACCCAAAACAAACATTATCTCACACACACAAAAAAAGAAAAAAACCTCAGACACCTCCACTTATCTCTCCTCCCACATATACATACTCTCCCTGGTCTTTTTATTACCTACACTTTTTCATTACATCATCCACCCCCTTTCTCCCATCTTTCCCATCTTACTCTCCCTATAAAATCGATTCATCAGCCTCCTACTCTCCCCTTCCTCTAACCCCCCCCTCTCTCTTCTCTCTCTCTCTCTTTCTCTCTCTCTCTCTCTCCCTCTCCCTCTCTCACATCTGCACCCCATTCCTCCCTCCCCTCAACCTCTCTAAAACGCCTCCACCGCCCCACTCACCTCCACCGCCACCTCGCACTCGGTCCCATCAAGGAGCTTGACCCGGGAGAGGACCATCTTCCCCCTCGGAGCCTTGGAGGGGGACTTGCTAGGGGATCCTGAGGTCTTCGTCTCCACACCGACCCCATTCTCCCCCTTCCCCGCCTTCTCCTCCGGCATAGCTGCAGGTGCCTGGAACAGATTTTGAGTTTTAGACGTGGGAGAGTACTCTAATGGTAGTTTATAGAAGAGAAATTATAACAATATCAGAGATGATACTAGTAAAGATGGTGACAATAACATGAAAAGAGTAATAACAATGCTGACACCAATAAACACTAATAACCAAAAGCACAACTGCAATACTGACAATGATAATGATAATAACAAAAAGATGATTGCTATTACCATGCTTCAATGTTAATAACAACTTGCAATACAACACTGCCTATTAGAGAACATCTCCAATAACTTAATAACCTAAATTTCAGTGATTTTATACATTCATCTTCTGACAAGTAACAATATTTTCAACGACTTCTCTCTCTTGACCCTTTAAATTTCAGTCAAGCAATAGAGTGCATATCTTTGCTTTCCTAATAGCTAAGCATGTTAGCAACAAACTTCAAAATATCACCCTCTATAAAACCTTCAATTATGTAAATCATAAACAAACCATGCATCTTCTTTGGTTCCTTTCTTAAAACACTTTTATCAATTTAAGTTCTCAAAGCTACGTATTAATGCAAAACTAACAGTTAGTTAATACCCCAATGCTTAAGTCCAAGATATTAATTATTGTAGGTCAATCTTTTTTTTTTTCTTTTTTTTTTCTTTTTTTTTTGGGGGGTGGGGGGGTGGGGGGAATCAAATGATCAAAATAACCGCTATAGGCAATACAAGAGGCTTTTCAATCCACAGCACTTGAAAAGAAGAAAATAAATACGCATACACACAAACACCCTAAAGGTATCATATCCCCCTGTGTAAACAACATGAGCAGGATACCACTTGATGCCGGTATTCAGGCAAGCACTTGAGAAAAAGGGGAGAAAAAGCAATAAATGCAATGTGTTCGCATAGCTATCATCTTTGCCCAGCCACTGACTAGAAGCCTATAATCTTCATCATAACAATACTCTGCTAGATTGAAAAAAAGTAACAACAAAAAAGAAAAAGAGGAAATAACTGCAAGAGTGGCATGACAGGCCCTATTAGCCTTATGACAATCAGCTCACTTGAGGAACCCATTCATAAAAATTGTGCCATCGTGACCTACATTCCTCCAGCTGCTCCGTCAAAGCTGTGTCTGTCATACCTCGTACACCTAATTTATGCAAAGGACCCTAGAGCTTTTCCTGGGAATTTCTACGATCATGGTTATTTCTGACTTGCCAGGAAAATGGGTAAAAAGTTAGCTTTATTTCTTCTTTTTGCCTGAATAGCTGAGAGAAAACCAACATTATATAATATGTAATGTAGTTTCTTATTCCCTACTCCCCATCAAATCAGGAATCATGAACCCTACAAGAAAATTATCAAAAAAAGAAATAATCAAATCAAAAACATGCTGTTATCAAAAACAAAATAGTCTCACTCGCTACAAATGTTAGTCATAATAGCTGTAAAAAGTAACATTCAGAGCACAATCAATATCACTCCTTTTTTTTTCTTATACTGCACAAGCCTGTAGATCAGTCACAGGATAAGTTAACTCACTGTACAGCAGCCCATGGTACAGGTGCAGGGCTCAACCTCAACAGAACTCCCACTGTGAAGGAGTTTGTATTAGACCAGCACTCACTGTTGAACTTATGGCAGACTAACAATGACAAAATAAAGTATCACAGCCTACTACTGCATTTTTAAAGACTTAAAAAATAATAAATAAACAGATCAGATATTCCTCTTGTGAACATCATACTTGGTTAAACCACGATTTTCAAAAATATTTAAATAACACCATATCATATAAAAAAAATTCATCACTGCACAGTAGACCAAAGTTTCAAATGCTTAACTGGATTCACCCTCAGTAATATATAATACCATCACATTCCTCTATTCTATTGGCAGCTACATAAAATATGCAAAAATACTGAACAGAAATTAAACTAATGTAAAGTAAAGTGGAAAAAAAAAATCTGGAGGCTATACCAAGAAGAGATATAATAAACTTAAAGGCTTCTGTGGTGAGTTTTTACAACTACATTGTACAAAGACCATATGCAGTCTTGACTGTTGGGAGCACTCATGTAAAGCTTTTGCATTGAGGAGGAAGGGAGACTGGGAGAGGAAAAAGAGGGGAGGGAAGAGGGGAGAGGGGAACAGTGAGTGAGAGAGGAACAAGAGGAGAGAGAGATGTGAGAGAGAGAGAGAGAGAGAGAGAGAGAGAGAGAGAGAGAGAGAGAGAGAGAGAGAGAGAGAGAGAGAGAGAGAGAGAGAGAGAGAGAGAGAGAGAGAGAGAGATATTGACTGAGTGAATGAGTGAGTGACTAAGTGAGAGTAATAGATAAGGATATGGAGGTAGAGACACTCAACCAGACAGACAAAATGACAGGTCACATACTCTGTGTCAGTGAGTCCAGCTGACATTCCTAATATATCATGTAATTAGATAACCAGAGATTTCTTATCTCAGAGATATTGCTATATCTTACTGATAAGAAAATTAAAAGTCATCTAGTTACTCAATATGGACTCAAGAGGCTTGACTTCT